GTGAAGTGCATGTTCATTTTCATGATAAGAAATTGACAACGGAGTTGGTTATCATACGAATAGACCTTTAATGTAATTTTGACGATGGATTGGATGTTGTTACAATTGAATGCTGGAAAAGACGGGTAAAACTGAAAATCACTTGATGAAAAAGTATTTTATATTTTATGTGATCGAAGTGTACAATCTTCCTTGATTAGTGCAGTGAAAGTTGAGTAGTATTTGTGAGGCATCAGATTGGTATTTCTGGAAAAATTAGAAGTGATTAATAAAGATGTACATGAATTGAAAAACATACTAGTGATTTTATAATTTTTAGATGCATTTCTTGAAGAATTACCAAGACTACCGCCAGAAAAAGTTGAATTCGGTATTGATGTGCAATCACAAATGTCTGCAATATTCAAATCTCTATACAGGATGACTTCGAAGGAATTGCAGGAATTAAAATGTTAGTTGCAGGAACTCATAGATAAAGGTTTTATCATGCCAAGTAATTCACCATGGAGTGCTCCAATTTTGTTTGTTAAGAAAAATGATGAATCTATGCGAATATATATTGATTGTAGAGAGTTGAACAAGGTGAAAATCAAGAGCATATATCCTTTGTCTTGAATTGATGATTCATTTGATCAATTAGAAGGTGCAACTATATTTTCTGGAATTGATCTGAGATCAGGATATCATCAGGTCAGAGTCAAGGCAACATATATAATTATGATAGCTTTTGACACCATATATTGTCATTATGAATTCTTACTTGTGCTTTTTGGTTTAACTAATGCTCTTGCAATTTTTACAGACTCGATGAATCGAATTCTCTAGCCATATGTGGATCATTTTGTTATTATATTTATTGACGATATTATGATTTAATAAAAAATTATTGAATGGACATGTCGTCGTTCCGCTCTGTTAGGGTTCCGCCCCATGGCGAACCCTAACATCTTTTTCTTCGTCTCGCGTTGTCTGTTTCCATTCACGTCGTTTCGCATTTGCGTTCGCGTCTAGTCTGGCGGCAGTGCTGCGGTTGTCTTCGTGCCTGCGTCTCGTTTGCGACAGAGGCGCTCGACACCTTCCTGCTTCTGTTGCATCTCCTCTGCGACAGAGTTGCCTGGTCTGTGACAGAGCCGTTCGATACTCGTGCAGCGTCTCACTATGCTGCAGGTTGGCACTGGCTGCGGTATTGACCTCAGGGCTTTCCTACGCCACCTCCCTCGTCGGTGATATTCATGCCAAACCCTCTTATGCTACAGTGGTTCACAAACGTAGCTCCTTATTTCATCTCGCAGATAGTGCGGTATTTTCGTAGATTTACCATGATTCTGTTGCAGGAAATGAAAATTGCAATCTCATTAAAAAAGTAGAGAAAAAGAAGGGCAAATCAACAATTTTCTTTTATGACACTGAAATTTCAACTCTTGCAGGAAAATTCAAATTTACACTAGTTGGAAAGTTCCAATTAGGTTGCCCTAAGATGGAGATCATCAAGAAGGTTTTTGAAGATTTCAAATTGGTTGGGGATTGACATATTGGTCATTTCAACAGAAGGCATGTTATGATACAGTTGAGCACAAAAAATGATTACACGAGGATTTTTTCAAAGAAATTCATCACAGTTGAGGGCAAACATATGAAATTGCTCAATTGGACCCCCAATTTTTATCTCAATCAAGAACCCCCAATTGCACCTATCTGGTTCTTATCACCCGAACTCAAACCTCATTTCCTTGACATACCTATCTTATATGCAATTCAGATTATTCTTGGAAAATCTTTACAGGTAGACTTACCTATAGTTCATTTCTCAAAGCCCCTACTGCAGGAATTTTGATTGAACGAGATATTACACTACCAGATGTAGAAGAAGTCTGGCTTGGATCTGCTCACAATAGTTATTGACAAAAAAATATTATGGAATAAAAACCATACTACTGGAAGTACTGCAAGATGTTTGGAAACCCGTAGGAGAAATGTTTCAGATTATACCCACAGTTGAGAAGGAATAGTCAAAAGCAGGAGCACACTATTAGTGCACCCCATTTGCTTGAACGCGCTCCCAACAAACAACTCCCAACAAACCTGATGACAGCCAACCTGAGGAGGGAATCACCACAAGTCAGGAGTTGGTTTCTGCCCCCGGGATCCCTTCTCCTGACCATACTATAACGGATAATGTTCGAACTAAAAATCAAGGTAGTCCCGCATCTCCTATTCAGGAAGCATCAGGTGCAGAGGTAACAATTCACACTTCACATAAACTGGAACCTATCGCTGTGGTAATGACTGTCTTTCCTCCTACTGCGGTGCTAACATCAAATCAGATCGAGAATCACATGAGCCAGTTTTTCGATGAAAAATGACAGATTTATACTTCTTGGCGGAAGAAGAAGGCTGGGGGCTCACTCTAACTTGGAAACTTAATGGATGATACTTTGGTGACTCCTGGCTTTGACACGACTCTTCAAAGTTTGTTATCTGGTTTCGCTCCTAAAACTAGAGGAAGATGCAGAACTAAACTGGCTTGCCCTAGCTACTTGTTTTCTGCATGTTTTAAATTTGTTTTATATTTTATTGAGTCTATCTGTATCTTTTTTTGGTATATTACTGTACTTGTATCGTATGATAGGATGCCTCTTTTAGGCTCTTCTCATACTACCTTTATGTATCTTTTCCTATTTAAATAAAATCAGCCCTTGGGCTTTTCATAAAGAAAAGAAAATAAAAAATTATTGAAGATCATGCCAAGCATTTGAGGATGGTATTGGAGTTGCCGAGGCAATCAATTATATGTCAAGGATATCTGAACTAATCCCACAGACACTTCTTTGCTGTCAAGGATATCTGTGATCTCAGACTCCATAGAAGGCAGAAGGTAGAAGCATGATGCACTTAATATCCTTGGTGAAGGAGTAGGTGTTCTTGAACTCATCATGTTAAGTTCTATGGTCAAATTCTCATGATCTCCCCAACAAAAGGTGATAGTCATCCAAGTCGCACCACACTTGATCCAACAGCTGATTTTAATAAAAAACTCCACGAGACACTTCATGTCAATGGTGACCCTATTTTCCTTCATCAAAGTCAGAGAATATGAATGGATATGCCCTTGAGCCATGAGGCTTAACTTCTCTACCATTTGCGTAGACACATCATTTTTGTTGGTCCCCCTTCGATAATGAGATTACTTATCTATCCTTTCACAGTGCAACAGGTATGAAATATGCTATGGTGAAGCCATTGCTGATTTCTTTTATTTACCGTTCGTAGGACCCGTCCAACGATGAGCGTATCGCCCTTATCCAGTGGAAGATGGTACTCCTATTTTTCAGTTGCTTTATCATTGCTACTTTCTCCACTGCACCTTTCTCGTTAAACGTCACAGCTTGGCTCGTTGAGCAACTGGAGGCGATGCTCAAATCCATGGCATTTGAAACATTTTCTTGCTGGGTTTGTATTGGGCATGCTGTCTCAGGCTTCTCACTCCAAGTGGCCCTGTTCTTATCTTGATAAGGCTCCTCAAGTGTCTGAAGCGTGCTCCTACTTATGTTTTCAAATGCAAATTGCGGTCTAAATAGCGATGATTGTTTGTTTCGTTTCTGCCGTCTCTCCACCTTCAAGGCTAAAGGCTGGACATCTCCAATTGACCAATAGGATTGCAGTTGCACAATGTTGCTGATAGTCGGCTTCAGACCCCCAAGATATCAGGCTTTGGTGTGTTCTGTTGGCTCAGCAAACTCGCATTTTATCTGCTACTTGCCAACTGTGTCGTGAACTTCTCCACTCATTAGTCTTTTTGCTGTAGGTGATGGAGTCTCAGAAACATATTCTGACAGTAATGAAACAATAAATATTTTTTCTGAATCTTCTTCATAGCTTCTTTCACCTAGTAATCTTGCACCGCCTTCTCTTTCCTTGCTTTTGCAAATTTTCTCACCATAAGGAGGTAAACTTTTTCAATTTGATGGCCATAAGTTTCACCCTTCTATCTTCTGGAACTTCTTTGTACTCCTTTCTACTCGAAGAATCTCTTAACTGACTACAACCGCTCAAAGAAATTTTCTGCAAAAAGGTGCGGCAGCCGATAGCGGGCTGGGGGGGGAGGGGGTGCGATAACGAGCAATGGTGCTGGACAACAAGCAGGGGATTGCAGAACGGTGTGTTAACTAGTAACGACAGCTGGAAGGTGTCTCTGGAAGCAAGGGAAAGTGGAAAAGGGTAGAATATGAGGAGATGATCATCACCCTGGAGGAGGATATAACTGTAGCACCACCTATCCTTAGATTTAGCCCTAGCAAGGGCGCTGCTGGTAGAAATCTGAAATAGAAGACTGATTTAAAACACAAAAAATTAACATATAAATGCTACTAGGGTAGCTAAGGGTGGGGTCCCCTTAGTTATGCGGCAATTTCTCGTTAAGGCGTGATCGTACGGTCTTCTCTTGCTTCGGGATGAACTAGTTCATGCAAAACAATGTGTGGTTCGGTAGCTGGGGTTGTCGCGTTTTGCGTCCCGTGCGGGAGGCGCAGTTGCGCACCTGCATCTCGTGTGCAGGAGATGCGCCCATGTCAATAATGGAAGGAGGTGGTGACTTCACTTGGTTGTTAGCCAAGGTCCTAGTAGAATTCTTCATAGGATTTGGTATTATGTTATACTAAACAGCTTTGATGAGAAAAGAAGTGCAGAAGTTACCCTCACAGAATTTAATGAAAGAGAATACGCTTGACCACAAACAACTTTTATTATTCTCTTGATCTTATTATGGATTTCATTTTGACCAAAACGATACCTTTGATGTATGTTTTTAGGAATTATTTGATTTCCACTTTTCATATAAATCTATAGTTTTAACTTGATATTAATGTAAACATGCAAACATTTGATTATTTAATTAGGCTATTTTTTGGCTCTCATTTATTTGTTTATTTATTTTAGCAATGTGTTTCGATTTCATTCATTTGTAATTATTTCTCAATGATATTTTGTTCCATCTCTTGCAGAAATTCGTGACGTTCTTGAAAACTTCTTTTGTAACAAAGACCAGCATATGGAAAGTTCTATATCCATTTGAAGCAAAGGCAAATGCCCATACTGGTAAAAGCTGTTTCCTTCAATGTATTTATCCAACAGTTAGAACCGTGAAAGTTAAGCTGCTTCTATTTTATGAATCATAAATACAGATATACTCATCTTCGATCTTTTTTCTTTTAAATATGAAGCGGTGTTAATATGTAGTTTTTTCGGCTGTTTAAGCGACATTTGCCGTCCTTTTTTTCCTCATATTCTTAGAACTTGCTTGCGCCATATTAGGACCACAACTGTACTGTTTAAAAATTATCTCTCATTCTTTTGCAGAGCACTTGTAAAACAAACACTTGTGAAAATAAAGTGGCGTTCTGTATCAGTAGTCCCTTCAAGGAAACCATAATTCTGAAATAATTTCTAGCAGAACAGAGTGATGCATATTTTTGTGGAGCCTATTTAATTTGGATCTATGATAAAATAAGGAAATTTAAAAATCCTCTGATCATGATAGGCATGATTAACGTAAAAAGAAAATTTGGCATACACTTATTTTGTTATTTGTTCTGAAATTCAGGACTAATAAGCCAGATTTTTTTTGCGTTATTTCATTGTCATTGGTCGGTGCTTTCATTAGCCACAGACATCATTTTGGATTCAGTTGGCATTTGTTCTTTTGTGTCTCCGATAAATATTCATGTTCATGAATGACAGATGTCAGATGGAGTCAATTGAATGATGGCGTTTGCTTAAAATCGATCACAGTATATCCTGTAAAATCATGTGGTGGATTCAGTGTTTCCTGCTGGCCTCTAGTCAATTCGGGTAAGATTCTTTTTTTAAAGCTTGCTTTCTGTAAATAATTTAATCCTTGGCTGCCATATAAATTTATAATAGCGAATTCTTCCATTTTTTATGCATTGTGAATTTGAAAATCTACAAAAACCTACTTTCACCCGCATCACCTGGGTAATGAAATTAGTTGTAAGTGCATATGAATTTGGGCTATTAATTATTTTCAAAACAAAAGAAAGAACTGTTCTTTATCGAAATTTTGACTTATGAGGGCCAATTAAATTGCTAATTTAATAAGTTATTCCAATGCTTGAGCAGGCTTGAAATATGATCGTGAATGGCTTCTCAGAGGACCAAATGGTGAAATTTTGACTCAGAAAAAGGTTTTTTCTGTAACTTTCTACCTTTTCATTCATGTACATTCTTTTCTGTTGCTTTGCACGAGCCTATAATAATACGCCATGCTGTGGACTAGAAAACTATGGTGAATTAATATAATTAGTCACATTTATTTTTTCTAATAAACCTTATCGGAAGCATAAAAAGGTTAAACCTTATGGTACATTCATTGGCGCTTCTGTTATTGTAATTGAATATCTCATGCTAAGCAAAAAAGTAAACGGTGCATGCGCTAGAACTGAAAGAGGGATGAGAGAAAAATCAAATGTGTTCTTTACTATGGAGGAATAACTGAATAGGATTTATTAGTTAACCCTTTGCTGCTATTACTCGCGATTTTGTCACTCCCATTTTGACGTCTATCAGTTAATCATGAGATGGAGCAGAGGTTACAATTCAATCAGATTATTTCCAGCTAAGATTTTTGGTCTTTCGTTGGATTGAGTTCAGAACTAGTCTTGTTCTATCACACTTATATACTACGCTTTGTAATCTTGTAAAGGATCCATTATAATTATTAATATGTAAATATATATAATTTAAAACATTATGATAGAGTACTGTGATTTTAATGAACATTATAATTAATTTGTATGTGCCAAAATTTTTTAATTAATGTCATATGCATTCTCTTTCTATGGTATATCCAAAGCTTTAGGCCCCGTTTGGGGTCAAATTTTTCCCGCGGCGCAACACTAAGCAGCACCAATTTTATTTTTTCCGTTTGTTTGCCTCATTTTTGAGGCTGCGGTGGAAACGTTTTTCAGAACGCGGACCCTGTAGCCCGCGTTTCCTTTTATTTTCTGCGGCCCCGGCTATTGCCCTACCCCCCGCTCCCCTCTCGACCCTTTCGCCTCTGTGACTCGAGACGAAGAAGACACAGAGAAGCAATGGAAGTGAAGGAACTGTGAGCGGCGCTTGAGCAAGCTATCAAGTCCTACGCTGGGCTATATCCAACGACCTTCTTTACGGTCATGGCGGTTGCTCTGGCATTCTGTGACGTGATCTCCGCCTACATTGAGCTGGCTCTGGTTGCAATGAAGCGGGAGGTGGAGGCTGAGTTGGTGGAGCCACTTCCTACACTTTCTATGCCGGTTTAGCTCGGTGAGCTAATGGAGGAGGAGCTTATCGCTTTCGATGGATTCGATGCTAAGGAACCGTTCTCATGGCGATCAAAGGTCAGATCTACGACGTTACGCATAGCAGGTGGTTGTTCCTCACTCATTTTATCATTTTATGTTGAATTTGTGGGTTGGTTATGGTTTTGGAATTTGGGTGGAGGTGTGCTGTTTTTTTTTGTACTATGAGTTGGATTGGGGAGGGTTTGTTGTTATCTTTTAGCTTTATCGATTATGGTGCTCTATCGATTATGGTGCTCTGTGAGAATTACTAATTACTTTTACTATGCATCTATTCATTTTAAATATTTATAGGCTTTTACATTTCTTGGCCCATTTTGTATGATGTTAATTTGGTTTATCTGATTGTGTTTTCTGCATGTTCCAGCTTGTTGATATCAGTATCTTGCTAGCTTGTTGGCTATTGTTCAACATTTTGGGCTAATGTTTTTATGTTAATTAGGGTTTTGATTCATTGTTCTTATGAGTTTTCTTGTTGGGTATATCTTATGAGTATATCTTATTTTTTGTATTGTTCTGAAGTGGTTTTCTACTTAAGTTTTAAATATATTGCTATGAAGCAAACAACTTTACTGCAAAGGGACAGAATGATCATTTATTCATAAACAGCTACAAAACAATTATTTTTCACAACACAAGCCAAACAGTCAGCCAGTTTACTCGGATCAGCTGCTGCACAACAACTTATCTGCGGCAGCTGCTTATCAGCAACAACTTAGTAATAAGCTGCAGCTGCCCCAAACAAACCCTTAAAGTGAAAGACCAAGCTAAGTCAACTGACTATGATTCAACTAGTTTTTTTCTGTTTCAGTAACATCAATTATTATGTTACTACACGATCCAATGGCTTGGATTTACCAAAGTGGAAACAAATAGTCAAATGGAAAATTAAATTTTTAATTAATCAGTAATGTGCGAAAATAGTCCCTAACTATTTACATGGAGCAATTTTAGTCCTAGAGTTTATAGAAATGTCAAAATAATCCACATATTGTTTGAATTAGGGCTGACTATATAGCTCAATTTTAAAACAGTTCGGGATTATTTTGAAATTTTTGTAAACAATAGGACTAAAATGACCCCATGTTAATAGTCAAGGACTATTTTAGCACTTTATAATTAAAATTTCTCTCGTTGTTTTGACATATATTTTATATAATCTATAAATTGCTTAAATTCGAAAATAATGAGTGAGCATAAAACGACAAAGTTAGAATCAGAGAAGAAATAAATTAGCTTTCCTTTGGATGGTCTTGCTTACAATACACTGCATCTCCTCTTCCACTCATTCAAGCCTAAATTATTTAAACAAACAAAATAATGAGACATCAAAATTAGCCAATGGGATAATTACAATACTAAATCATAGAGGTGAAAAAAAAAAGAGAATTAACAAGCATGAAAAATTTTCAATGACTTTGGCCTCACTGCTTACGTATATCTTCAAACAGGTAAGAAAACCTTCTTTTGACCCCTTTCCAATTAACCATGAGATCTAATAGATCCGGGCAATTTACTTGACATGTTTTACACCAATTTTTTCTTGACTTTTATTAATCTTGGTTGAGTAGAAAATTAGTCCGTTTTAATTGTCTTGCTTTATATAATCCACTTCATAATATTTTATAAAATTCTTCATAATCTTTAATACGTAAGTATGGATAACTTAACTCATCAAAAAGATTTTAGAACTTATAATGAACTTCATATACAATTAATATGTATCAAAAAGCTTTAATTAGCATCATGTACATTCTCTTTCAATGATAAATCTAAAAGTCTAAAGTGAAGAATAAAATTGGGTCACCTTATAATTGCCCAGCCAACACCTTTTTTTTTTTTTTTTAAGTAATAATCATTGCAATATTTGATGAGCTACAAGCTCAATGGGATTGATATTTCTATTATAAAGTTTTTAAATAAAAAGAATTGGAAAGATAAGCACGTTGGTTTTTTTAATTAGCACAAGTATCAATAGTCGTAATCATATCTAGCTCAATGCAATAAAGTTAATTGGGACAAGATTTTTTTAATTAAATAAGTAAAGACTAATCATAAACAGTGACACCGAAGTAAACCAACAATGACGTAAAAAATAATATTATTGCAGAATCAAATAGAAAATTATAACCCGACAAAATAGAAATTTGAACTTGTAACAAATGAAAACAAAAGCTCAAACTAGGGTAGATCGTGGGGTGTTGGTGTTGGTGTTGATCGGCGAGGGGTTGGACATCCGGAGAGGTAGCACAAAGCAGTTAATGGGCTGGAAGGGTGGTGACAACAAAGGAGTGTTGGTAGCAATGAGGGGTAAGTGCGAAGTTGTAGGAATAACAAGTGTGATTGCTGTCCTGGGTGATGGCAGGAAGAAAGATGGCTGGGATTTGGCAACAAGAAAGATGGCTGGGCTGGGCAGCTGGAAAGCATCAGATAGTGGTTGTTCTGGGCGGTGATAGCTAGGTGGAATGACAACGACAACGATGAGAGATGTTGTGGACTGCAGGATAACAAAGGATGGTTGATAGTGGCGGCGGTGGAGAGGACTAGTAGCTTGCTTGTTGGAAACTGCAGGAAAATTGCTTACAACTACTGTTGAGAGCAACTATTGCAAAGGCGGATAACAGGGAGCAATGTGGGAAGCGTAAGGGGAAGGATAATCACCACCTATGGATTGAGATACAATCGGGGCACCACTCTACTCTTAGATATAACTTTAGACGGGGAAATAGAGATGCTGACAGTTATCCCAAACAAGCGCAGAATAAAAACGGAATCCTAAGACATGATGAAAGCAAATCTATGGTACTAGGATAACTGGGGAGAGTCCCAATCCCATTCACAGCAAGCCCTATGTTAGATGAGGGCCTGTCGGTCCTTCCATATCTTGGACTAGTTCGGTCCAAGTTTGAACTCGGTAATTTCCATGCTTATTTGATGTCGCATCAATCTCGCAGGATTGCGGAAGCTTTGAAATCATCCATTGAAACTTTTGTCTACCCATTATACTGAGTTAGGTTGGTCCCGTCGAAGATAAGGAAAATAATGTAATCTCTTAGCATCGGAGGTGTTCAATTGTTCTTCTAGTACACATGGATCTCACCATCGAACGCGCTGTCCCCAATGCACCTGACATGAGTTCTTAAAGTTTGTATTTCCATCTTTATTTGTCCAACCATCTGTGAGTATCTTACTGAACTGAACCTGAACTTCATGTTAAGTGTACTTTGTAAAATCCTCTAAAAATAGCCCAAGGTTGGTTCATCTCTCTGAATTAAGGATAGATTGGCCCCCCGGATGGTGTTGTCCATGATGGTAAGATGTTCGTTAGGATGACTTGAAAATCTCTTTGTAGCTGCTGCCCTTTGTTTGACATTGGTCCTTCAGTCTTGTAACCCTCAATCATCATCAAAACTGATAACACTAGCGCATCCTTACTGGCACGAGCACTTAAAATCTCGGACACCACATAATGTAGAGCGGTGTATTTTTCATTCTTTGTGAGCGAGTAGGTGTTCTTGAACCGTTCAAGCTAATCCTGCGATCAAAATGTCAGTCTCCCCAGTAGTGTGACAGACTTCCATGGCACAATGTCACACCACACTTAATCATTCAGCTGGCTCCTAATTGAAAACCTTATGAGGCATCTTCTGTCAATGCTGGCCCTATGCTCCTTCAACCACGTTAGGAAGTATGGCTGGGAATATCTTCAAGTAGTGAGACTCAACATGTCTACCATCTGTGTAGACGCTATATTCTTACTATTAACTTCATCGATGAAAAGGTTGCACAGTTTTTCTTTCACAGGACAACAAGTATGAAAGATATTTTGGTGAAGCCACTGCTAA